GACAAACCAGAGACGGTGATCAAGAGACTGAAGGCCTATGAAGCCCAGACAGAGCCCGTCCTGCAGTATTACCAGTGAGTTCTCGCTTTTCTCACCGTCTTTTTTGTTTTTTCGAGACAGGGTTTCTTTGTGTAGCTTTGCACCTGTCCTGGATCTCACTTTGTAAACCAGGCTGGCCTTGAACTCACAGAGATCCACCTGCCTCTGCCTCCCAAGTGCTGGGATTAAAGGCGTGCGCCACCACCGCCTGGCGGTGATCACTTACAGTAGCCGTTACTTTAAGCTTGTGATTGTATACGGAGCCTGGCTCTATAACCCTGGGCAAGGCATTTCTCTTCGGATTCCTTATTTGCAACCAGCCAGTATTAAATACCCACTTTCAGAACTATTAGGGGACGGGAGTGAGAGCCTCTGCAAAGGCTTAGAGCAGTCCCCAGCTACTGAATCAGCCACTGTTGGGGACCCTACTGGCACTGTGCCAGGCCCCTGTCTAAGCAGACAAGTACACTCAGTTCCTACAGGCCTCCAAGACAGTCACCTTGTATGGATAAAGAAAACTGCGCAAAGAAGCTGCATCGGGCAGTGAGATGAACTCGTGCTTATCATCAGAAGCCACTCACACTGGCTTAAGCAAACCGGGGTGTGGGGGGCGGGGTTAGTCCTATAACCAAGAAGTCCAAATACAGATGGCTGCTGGTCCAGGGGCTTAACGAGTGTGGTCCAAACCCAGCCCTTGGTCCAAACCCAGCCCTTTCAGCTCCATTCCCTGGGTTGGCTTCAGGCCCAGGTGGCTGCAATGTCCTCTGACTTTAGCTCAGCTCCTGCCAGCTCCGCTACCTCAGCAGAAGAGATACCTTTCCCTCCAGAGAAAGTCATGGGATCGATGGCCATTAGCTCCAGCCACGCACTGTTGAAGCGAGGGTGTGGGAACAGTCTCACCTACCTACACCTCATGTCCTGAGTGTGGTCCGCCTGACTGTCCATGGGACTCACAACAGAGAACGCCTTGTGCCTGGGCAGATAATAATACTCCTAAGAGGCTGTGAGGAGAGGAAATGCCTGTAAGGATTAGTTCTGACACAGGATGGGAGGTTGAGGAAAGCTATAGAAATTAATGATTTGGGGTTTTTTCTTTCTGGGTTCCTGGCTCCTGCTGCTTCTTGCCATATATACAATGCATACATAGACTTAAAGGCTTACCTAAAAATGGAAATAGCCTTAAAAAAGAAACTTCGTAATAGTCAGTTCTGTTATTTGAACGAGCTTATAGTCTCCTTATTCTTCCCAGCTGGAGAACGCTCGTCTGTCTAGAATGTGATGTTCTTACTCTTTGGAAGACTCATTTTTGTAGCTGGTTCCATTTCATTACAGAGAAATTACAATACAAATGTGAGGAGGGACCAGGTGCCCATTCCCTACAGAGTTCTGCCTCGGTAGTACATCACTCCTGGCATCGTAGCTGATACTAAAGCATCATCTCCAAGAAGCTTTCCCGTTCAAAGTTTGCTCTCCTGAAAGCTCCGCCTGCCTGTGAATTTAGATGCTAAAAGGCTTCTTCTATGTAAATACTCCCTTTGCATAATTTTTCTCTGTAGCAGATACTTTCACACAGAAAACAGCTGCTGTTGTTATTTAACCATGGCAAATGTTAGGAGTTGTCAATAAAGGGATCCTTTTGTCCCAGCGAAAGCCTATTGAGAACGGCTGCAGAGCTATGGAAAGTATTAAATCAAGTTGAGTGACCTGCAAACCAGTGTGCACACCCAAGAAAGGTGTGTGGGTCAGGGGAGTTCAGAACCTTAAGGTAGTCTGTGGTTTGAGAAGCAAACCCCAGGATTCTGAGCCCCACACTTCATCTTCCTCCTACTGAACACTGGAGTGAAATAACTCCTTTGATGGCCAGTCTGCCTTGGGACAAGCCAACCAACCTGCAGGGATAAACAGAAAACCCTGAGAAGAGAAAATTCAGGAAAGCAGAATAGCGGGGAAAGGAACTTGGTAAAAAGAATAACGAGTGCTGGAAACTTTCAGAGACTTCAGTGGAAGACAAAGTCAGGCAGGGTGTCCTGGTGGCTGATGGGCCCTGATTCTAACCCGCCAGCCTGGGGATCGAGGCTGAGTCCCTTCCCAGAAGGCAAGTGTATCTGTAAGTAGGAGCACCTGGGCTTTTGACAAGCTATGAAGCATTAGTATAGGCTTGGCCGGCAGCACAGCTCAATTCGACAGCTGACATCCTTTTAAAGACCCCTTTCCTGTGCCAGAGGACAAAGCACAAACTAGAATCTAGATTTTCCTAGGTCCAGCCAAGTTCCTTCCCCCCGATCAGAGACCTAAACTCGAAGAACTTCTAAACTCACATGAACTTTACAAAGCCCTTTGAAAAAACACATTAGGCACATTTAGACTTGTGTAATCTATCTATTTACCTATCTACCTATTTATTTTGTTTTTCATCCTTAGGAAAAAAGGGGTGTTGGAAACATTCTCTGGAACGGAAACCAACAAGATCTGGCCCCATGTATATTCTTTCCTACAGACGAAGGTTCCAGAAACTACCCAGAAAGCCTCTGTCACTCCCTGAGGAGGGAGTAGTGAGCAGGGCCGCCTCGCCTCGTCTTTGTTTTTCGAAGCTCTTTTCCTAAGACTTCTCTGAAAATTATGACTTCTTCCTAATGACTTTCTTCTGGATGTTACTAAGGATGTGCCAAATGAGTCAGACACTAAGGCTGATCTGTTAAAATAACCTCGGATGTTTAATCTAGTTGTCTTCTGTGGATGTGCAATTGGAAAACATCAGAGATGTTGAAACTTAAGAAAAAAAATCAGAGCACAACGGAAAAGAACTGGTAATCGTCTACCCCTCTGTTCAGTTAAAGTGGTCGATCACATTTTCACGTTTTCCTGGGAAAGTTCAAAAAATCACATATTACCTGAGGCAGATAAATATCTCATTAAAGGCCAATGCCCTTCTAGCCCAGTGGGATGTGGTATTTGGGGAGACTGTCTATAGATTCTAAAAAGAAAGCAACTGGCTTTATTTGCAGATGTTGCCAGATGCAAACTCACTGCTGCCTTTTCGGGGAAAGGGAGGGCACAGGCCACCATGCAGTGTCCGCCATTTACAAGCTTTCAATCTGCTATGAAAATGCAGCCACTGGCACTTAAGAGCACGTGACTTCGGTCTGGCTGGTTCTTTTCCAAACACGCATGTACTGCGGCCTATGATTCTGTCGACTAAGTTCTGGGAGGAACACTGGCAAACGACAGCGGAATAGTCCTAGGTTCTCACCTGTCACTCAGGCCGAGGACTAGGTTTTAGGACCTACCTGTTAGTTTCTCTCTCACACACAAATGGACAGTCTGCCTTGATGAGCAAGCAGTAGTAAAAAGAAAACCGGAGGGTCAGAGAACAGCCCGGGTAGTTTGCCACTGACGTAGATGGGGTATGCTGGGGACAGCCCCTTGATAGAGGCCAGTCAACTAGTCAACAGGCTGGGTTAAAAAGCACTGGAACGGAGTTCCCTCAAGGACATTTATATCTCTATCAGAGTCTTTGATTTCAAGGCCCTCTTGTCTCAGCCTCTCAAGTGCTGGGATCACTGTTGCCACCCTACTTCAAAGGGAACAACTTTTCTTGTACCGTCTAAGGAGCCTCCTCTCCCACCTACAGCACTGTGGATCCAACTTATTCTTGTGTTCTGGGCAAGCACCCTATCACTGTGCTCCATCTCTAGCCTTAGCCTGTTTTTTTTTTTTTTTTTGGTGACAGGATCTTATGTAGTTCTGGCTGTCCTGGAACGACACAGACCAGGCTGGCTTCAAACTCAAGTGCTAGGATTAAAGATGTAGATCACCACTCCTGGCCCCAGCCTTTAGTTTTTGAGACAGGTCTCACTATATAGCCCAGGTTGCTTGAAATGATGTTGTCCAAGCTGGCCTCATGTTCATGATCCTCTTGTTTCAACATCCTTAGTGCTTAAATTACAGGTATGTACCACTAAACCAAGCCTGTGAAACCATCTTAAAACTCCAGTCACTTCCTTAGTGGAGTAAGGACATGTCCTTAGATACTGTGGCCTGATGTGAGAAAATATGAGAAGTGGAAGAAAAAACAACTCTACCTTCCAGGAAGATGTATTTTACTCTTTATTTTACTTGGTGCTAAATCAAAGAATCAAGCCCTTGTACAAGCCTTTGAAATTTTGGCCTATTTTATTTCAGACACTTGAGATACAAATGCCAGCAAGTGGTTCTTATATATCTGGGAGTAGGGGAGCAATCTTTGCTCTTTAAATTTCACCATTGATCTTTCAAAACGGACTAGGCCTTCAATTAGGATTCCAATGAACATCTTGTCCCTTGTCGATGTTTCTGTAACGCCTTATCTGAATGTTGATAACTGCTTTCTAACATTGTTGTGAACTACCTAAATTTAGGACTGATCGGTGGGTTCTGTTACATGTGGTGATATCAGCACTGTGGTTGTCGCCCTTTACCTCTCTCGGGCCCTTCACAGGCCCCCAACCCCTTCCTGTTATCTGCTGTGGCTTCTTTCTAATAAATGGTCTTCAACAGTACTAATAAACAGGTCTTCCCAACAAAGCATCTTATGACATTCTTTCTCTCCTGCTGTACTGATGTATTCACACTGACTTTCGTGACACTGGAGATGTGGAGGAGGTAGGAGGATTGGAGAACATGAAGTGACATTTTTTCCTGTGACCAGACCAACCAAGATATTATATATACATCCACTTGGGAATGGTGTATGGCTTTTCTATTAAAACAGACAAAAGGGACCTGTTTTCTGTTGGATAGGTTGATGTCAGACACTGATAAAGGATATCATTGCTGGGGCTGGACAGATGGCTCAGCAGTTAGGTGCATTGGCTGCTGGACAAGAGGACCTGGTTTGATTCCCAGCACCCACATGGCAGATTATAACCATCTGTAACTCTAGTTCTAGGGGATCCAATGCCCTCTTCTGGCCTCCACGGGTACCATGCACACACACATTGCAGACATATACAGGCAAATACCCATACATATAAAAAAATTTTTTTTAAAGTACCATTACTTAATATATCCTGCTGAAAAGCAAATATGTGGTAACCAGTGCAAGAGCTTTTATTTTGTGTCACATGGAATATGCATGGAGTTGAATGCCCTGGGCGGGAGCATGTCTTCAACAATATCCCTGCACTAATAGCTTGCAACTAAAGATTTTCATTCTGGAAGTTAGGATTTTTTTTTTAAACAATTAAAATAGTCTAGCTGGGCTCAAAAAGCACTGGTAAAAGCCAGTAAGGTTTCTGAATCTGTAGCATTCCCCTGCGATTTTTTAAAAAGGTTTCATTTTTAAAGTGTGCATGTGCACGTGTGTGTAGATGCCTACAGAGGCTACAAGAGGGCATCAGGTCTCCTGGCACTGGAGTTACAGGAGCTTGGAACACCAGATATGGGTGTGGGAAGTAAACTCTGGCCCTCTGCAAAAACATTTAAGTGCTCTTAACCAGCGATTCATCTCTTTAGCCACCCCTTTGAATGATCTCTAAAAACCCCGAGTTTTTCCACATATAGCACACAAGGAGTGTCTCATCAAGTGTAGACCGGCCCAGCAGCTTCCTATTTCCCCAAAAGGGTCTGAAGGTAACAGGAGTAACCAAATGAAAGTTAGAGGGTTTTAAAGTTATTCTCTACCTTTAGAAAAGGTCGCGTTCTTTCAGGCAGGCCTCTGAAAACACTTTCACCTGTCAGTGATGGTGAGTAATCCACAGCCAACACTTCCTCACCTTTGTGCTTTCCCCATATACCGACACCGAGCAAACCAATACTGGCTGATTCAGTATTGGACAGGCTGTGAAACAGGACAAACATCCCCCACAGGTGGGTACTGAAGGCTGCAGGCTCGAAGGGTCTTCTTGTTAAAATGTGAACGGTATGCTGGAAAATGGAAATGGGAAACCCAACCCCAACCCAGACAAGTACCACCTTTGTCCCACATCAATTTAAGAACTGGAATGTGACTAACTCTGAGAATAGTAAACTGACTTGTTTTTCTCTGAAAGTACCCCAGGATTAACTTGAGAATCACCCTGCCTACATCTCTACACTGTAATGAAACCACTGAGTAACAGATGTGTGCTCTTTGGGGAAGCATGTTAATTCACTTAAAAATTGAAAACAATTTTTAATTAAAAATAAAAACATTTAAACTATGTGTTTGTGTTCTGTGCATGTATGAAGGTCTGCTGAACCTTAAAGAGTTAAGTTCTCTTTCCACCATTTAGGTCCCAGAGACTGGATGCAGGTTGGTGGGCTTGGCAGCAAACACCTTTATTCAAGTGAGCCATATCAACAGCCCTTCTTCACTTTAAAAATAATATGAATGCTTGTCTGAACAAAGCCTAATATTTCTGAAGAGAAATTAAAGGAAATTGTAAGCTCCTGGTGCAGAAATGATGGAAGAACCACAGACGGTATCGTTCAGAGACTCGCAGAGCAGGAATTCTAAGCAGAACTTTCTCCATTACCATCAATGGAAAGACAGTTCACAGGTCAATGGAGTTACAACTATTTGTCTCTCTCTCCTTCTAAGACAGTCTCATGTAGCCACAAGGCTGCCTTGAACTTGCTATGCAACTGAGGAAAAGCATGAGCCCTCCTGTCTCCACCTTCCCAGCACGCGGGCCACAGCTACGTGCCACCATGCCCAGTTTATGTGGTGCCTGGGCTTTGTGCATCCTAAGCAAGACCTCTACCAATTGAGCTGAATCTTAAGGCCCCAGCGAGTTCATTAAAAAAAGAAAATACTTTATTAAACAACACATGAGATTTACCAAGTAAAACAGCAGTCTTTGTTGAATATTTTGATGTCAAATATTTTTCACTAGTTTGAACTTCTCATAGATTAGGGACAAATTTTCTAACCTGAAATATGAGTTATCTATTTGCTAAGTATTACTATTCTTCACTACTTCTTAAGAAAACAAGAGAGGAAATTTATTTTGGCAGGAGACAGCCAGCTCTCAATACTAAGGACATTTTCAAAATAAAGGAAATAAAAGGACTCTAATATACTGTCGTTTTGTTTTGATTTTTTGAGACAGGGCTTCTAGACGTAAATGTCCTGGAACTCACTCTGTAGAGCAGACTGGCCTCAAACTCAGAGATCACCTCCCAAATGCTGGGATTAAAGGAGTGTGCTACCACACCTAGCCCAATATACTGTCTTAATACTAAAGTCCTGGCAATGAGTACGTTACCATCCTTAAGTGCAAATTATGACATCCATTAGTGGCTCCCCCAAACAAATCAATCACACTTTTACACACTGAAACACAGAACACTTCCTTTGGGAAAAAATTCTAGTCAAATGTCAAAGAACAGTTTTTTTCCCTTAATCAATTTCTGTCTCAGAAAACAAAACCAAAATGAACGTTAAATCCTCACTTTGTTACTGCTTTTTTTGTCACCAGTTTTTGGCCCTTAAGAGTTTAAATTATAGAAGGCAAAATGAAAGTCACAACCACTTGGCTGAGCACAGAAAAGCAGACAAGCTGTGGGCAGAAGCGAACTGGAGTGGGAACTGGTCAGTCCAGTCCACTTCTGTGAGGGACGGCGGAATCATTCTCTTCTAGTCTGTCCATTTGACAGGAAGAGGAAAACCGAGAGCATGCTCCAGACAAGAAGAAAAGAGAGAGAGGAAAAAAATACAACAAAACCAAAAACACCTTCCATGACTAGGCCACTGATTGAAAAGAACTACAAGCCAGTGAGCACTACCTTATAAATTAGTCAAACATTTTATTATAGAGTATATATATTTATATCAAAAGCACAAAAAGACTTTTATTCTGGGAACCAGGAAGATTGTGACATTACAGGAGTATGATTCAATGATTCCAGTCCATTTCCACAAGTACTAGGTACCCCATCACCTACTTCAGCCCCCTTGGCTGACAGAAGACAGATGAAGCCAAGGTCACAGCTCTGACCTACGCAGGCCACTGAACATGATTTTCTTACTCAAACTGAGACCTATAGTCCCAACCCCAGGTACCCACATTCCAAATATTTGCTACGAATTGAAGTGGGTACTGAGCCAAAGATTACACTCAAAAATAATCAAAGCTAATGCTCCTGTAAGTCAGAAGATTAATCCTCAAATAATAAGGATATCATAATTGGCACTGTCATCTAATTCTAAATAAAAAGAATCAAATATCCTGGTGGATCTGCAGTGACTTATATAGGAAGAAGTGAAGCTCAGAAGCATCTTGTAACTGAGCTAGAAGCTAGTAACAGATGGAGTGAAACCCATCATCACCACTGAGGGTGACTGTTATCAAGTTCTTAGACATGGTTGGCAGCTCAAGGCAGCTTAGCGCTACAACATTTCTCAAGGCTTCACCAGAGGGAAACACACAATAACGGTGATTTAACAATGATCTTACTCTTCCTGTTTGTTCTTACAGGCCCTTACTATTCTTTTAAAACTTACTCCCTGAGAGGTCCCAGACTATGTCAAGTAAAGAAATCAGAGTAAGCTTGCAGTTCATCTTGCTGGAAAAACAGAAAACTGTATCGCTTTCTACACATGCCACACTCCTTAATATTTAAACAGTCATCAGGATAAAGTCAACTTCTGAACAGTTTTGAGACGACTTGAGGGGTAAATGTCATGTTTTTAATACCAAATTTATAGTCAAGGAGTTAACTGGTGGTGCCGAAAATACAAACGTAAATATTACCTTAAAACAATAATTTGTGCCATCCAGTTTACTTATTAGTAAAGTAGGTTACCACTACTAATTTATTGCTTTTAATGTGATGAACACCAGATGTGACAGCTGAACTTTTCGGTGGGACATAAGCACATTTGTATCTTTAATTCTTTCCATGAAGTAGGACATGTACACATCCACGGGAAAAAGACCATGTAGCAGATGCCTCCTCAGTCGGCCAGTCTTGTAAACATTGCATTGTGCAGATTTTCATACTTTGATTCAAAATTAAGAACAGTTAAAGGCAAATTTAGTAACTGAGGGGTGGGGGAGAGTCCAGTTTGACTTCCTGCAACATATGGTACCACTCCTCCCTTCAGAAACAAAACAACACAACAAAAAACCCTAGCAGCACATAAAAAAAAGTTGCAAAACATTTCAGTACTCTTTTCCCTCCCATCAAAAACCGAACAAAAATAAAGTGCAGCACCCATAAAAGTGTCAAGAAAATAGCCAAGCTCTTCCTTTCTTGTAACAAAATAGTCCTTGGCCTCAGCAGTCTTAAGTGAGTTATACAGTATCCATCATTTTCTCCTCCTCTTCCTTATGCAGCACTGAGTCGACACCGCAGAGAGGCGTACTGATAGAATACTGAAGATAATCTGGATTCTGGGGGGAGAGGAAGAGGGACAACACTTGAGAAGCAGCCTCATTCACACCAGGACATTCAACTGTGTACCTGGCTTCACACTCTGGTTCCTCTGAAGCACAACACAATAGGAAAGAAAATGGATTTGTGGAGTCTACTCCGGCTGAAACACAAAGAACTAAGGGTAGGATGATATTACTGAATCCAAAGAGATGTGATAAAAACAAGAGTGGATATATGGCAACAGAAATGTAACAAGTACCACACTTTTTTAACCCTTTCAACAAAACTAATTTTAATTCTTTAACCATACAAAGCTAAATTTCCCTGTGAGCATTGTATTTTAATTAATATGACTTTTGGGGGGCCGGAGAGAGATGAATCAGCAGTTAAGAGCACTTGTTGCTCTTCCAAAGGACCAGGGGATCTGACAGCCTGTCTGGCCTCCATGGGTACTGCATGCACACGGTGCATGTATTTAGGCAAAACACCCATACACATAAAATAATAAAATTTTAAAATCTGTTAAAATACAGTTTTTAGTCAGCAGTGTATCCTTAAGATAACTAATTACAACAGTTAAGTACTATAAATGTAAAACATTTTGATAAAGGTAAAATCCATGTACTGAGTAAAGTAAACAAAGAAAAAAAATCTTTACTTTTCCTGAGAGGTACTTTTGCCTACATTTAAAAAAAAATATGAGTTCAGAATATTGTTCAATTAACGCAAAACTAAATGCATGATTTTTAAATGTTCCATGGGTATGAGTGTAAGGTCTTAAAACCCAAGACTTTACTTGGCCATTTCGTCCTTTTGAAGTCATTTTTTTTTTCTCCTCAGTAATTCTGAATATTTTCCAGTGACCTGGACTTTTTATTACTTTTACTACCTAATTTCATTTACTTTTTAATAAACATTAATGAGCAAAGTTATCCAAATGAGAAAGGCTTCTTTAGTAAAAGCCAAAAGCTAGGCAGGAATTTGATTATTTCCAAGAGAAACTTTTATATTTTGTTTTAATGCTTCTATTTAGTATTATTAATACTCAGGGAGAAAAAAAATATGTCACAACTTAATACCATTAGAAGCCAATCCAGAGACTAAACATGAAGCAGCTGCTCCAAGGCACTGCTGAGTCCTATCAAGGCTAAGGATGGCAGTATATGATATGTTTCAGAGGACTGGTTTTCACCATAAAACTAAAATCAAGAGTGTTCCTGAATTCTGAGCTTTACAAAAGTCAATATTCTTGTTATATTACTGTTTCCACAAAGTAGTGCTAAGTCTTTTCTGATATCTGTTTCCGATTCCAGAGCCCTTCAAGACCAAACTTACAGTAACTCTAGCATGATACTCAGAACTAAAAGCAATCAATATCCCTAACCTAAGTGACACTGAAATTACACTGGTTGCCCTATCTGTCTGTCTGTCTGTCTGTCAGTATTCTCAGCACTTCACTTGTCTCAGTATACAGTTCTCCCCCAAAGCATGACCACTTGTAGTGTGACTCCCAAGACCGGGGAAGGACATTCAAAACCAGAGTATCAACCCCATCGCATACTGTGCTAACTTTGGGCAAAGTAATTTAACCTTTGAAAATTTCAATTTACTTATGTGCAAAAATGAATTTAGCCAGGCGGTGGTGGCGCACGCCTTTAATCCCAGCACTTGGGAGGCAGAGGCAGGCGGATCTCTGTGAGTTCCAGGCCAGCCTGGGCTACCAAGTGAGTTCCAGGAAAGGCGCAAGGCTACACAGAGAAACCCTGTCTCATAAAACCAAAAAATAAAAAATAAAATAAAATAAAAATAATGACAGCATATTTAAGAAGATTAAATGATACATGTCAACATATCATACAACCCATGAAGGGTAGGTGAAGTTTATAAAATAATTGCTCAGAGGCTTAATATTAATTGCAAATTTTATGGTCTATTGGCTCAGGCTTCTTGCTAGCTAGCTGTTACAACTTAACCCTTAACTATTAATCTATGTATCACCACGTGTTCCATGGCTTTATCTGAGTCCCATTCCATGTTGCTCCTTGAATGGCGGTCTGGCATCTCCCCTTAATCTTTCCTTTCACTATCTCTCTTGGATTTTCCCACCCTGCCACAGGCCAATGCAGCTTTATTTGTCAGCCAATGGAAGTAATACATATTCACAGCATACAGAAAGACATCCCACAGCACTGTGATTAAGCGATACATGTCAACATATTGTACAACCTAGGAAGTGATACAAAAATGGTATATCATTATTATAGTAAGATTGTTTTCAGACTTCAAAACTGTCATCTCGATCCCTTGGATGGCCTCCTTCTACTGTTTCCTTCATCTAGTCAATAATCTTATCTTGAACAGCAGCACTCCTCACCCTGAGGCAGTCTCAGTCAGAATGCCTAAATTCTCACCCTGTAAGGAGCAACTAGTCTATTAACCCAGAGTAATTAAGTATGGAGATTCCTGATAATAGTAATAATTCAAATGGCAAAATTATGACTCCAGCCTTCTCTACCACAGTGACAATGGAGGCCTAGCCACATTTGTCAGCTGTTAACTGGTACGTGTAAGAACGATTTCTCTCAAACCAGACGCATCTCGACAATACAGGTTGCTTATATTTTAATGTGTAAAGAACCACTGACATCTTAGTCTCTCATTCCTCTGCGTGCAGGAGGTGACTGATTTTAGGTTTATCTACTGCCTTTGACATCATCATAAAACTCCCTTGGAAAAAATTGCTTTCTCATGTGCTACTTCTCACTACAGTATTGAAGTAACATTAAAGAAGTGATCTGGGGCTGAAGATGGCTCAGTAGTTTAGAGCGCATGCTCCCTTGCAGAGCGCCAGGGTTCACTCCCCAGTACCCACGTGGTGGCTCTCAACCATCTGTAACCAACAGTTCCAGGGGATCCAAAGCCCTCTTCTGACCTCCCTCTGGGGGCACCAGGCACATATGTGGTGCACACACATACATGCAGGCAAAATATTTTCATACATATAAAATAAATCTTAAAAAATTAAAAATAAAGAAGTGATCTGTAGGCATTCTTCAGGGGGCTATTCCTGACATGTCTAATTGAAGGAGAACACTAGTAATTATTTAAAGTCAGAATGTGATTATTTACACCCTTGAAAATGTTTTTGGTTGAGTTAAAGATGACCAATTGCTTGCTTCCTTACTATTTTAGATACCACATTAGGTTAAAGTGCTGTGTAAAATTTAACAGCTGTTTAAGTACATGTTACTAAAATGGTAAAATTATAGTCACATAAGGTCAAGAAATTGAAAATTTCAATTTTTACCATTTTAAGAGGCTTAAAGATAAATACGGCCACTCCTCATATTGTCTTCTGAATGACACTTTCCATCTCCCAATGTAGACAATGGAATAAACTGGCTAAAGCTGGTCTTAAAACCTTGGAGCCTGGAAATGAGAGACAACTGGGCTCTATTTAAGTGGCTACTTCTAAAATCACAATGGGCAGGGACTGACAGTATCGTAAAGCTCTAGAAGTAGTATCAGCTACACTAGTGTCTGCTCCCCTCTTTCCACTGATATTTGTGTGTGTGTGTTAACGACAGTTTTTCTCTGGATCTAACAACAGATTCTGAGGAAGTTCAAACAGGTGCTAACAGTACGCACACTCTCACTAGATATATAACATTAACAAAGTATTAATTACATAAAGCCATGCAACAGATCACTTCAGTTATCACTCACATGTCTGCTCGCAAGCTAATTTCATCCTTTAAAAAATTGCCAACAATGGTTTTACTCAGAAGGAGATGTCTGTGGGGAGCCACCCTGAGTTTATGACTGAGGTAACACTTGACATTAAAAATGTTTAGGTACAGCTCATCTTTTCCACATTAAGATGAGACAGAATTTGGTGTCTCTAAGAAGACAGAAGAGACTCAATGCCAAGGCATGGAATGAAATAAGACTAAGGGTTGTTGTTGTTATTATTATTATTATTATTATTATTATTATTAAGTATTTCTTTTGGAGACAGGGTCTCTCAACATACCCCTCGTTGGCCTGGAGCTCACTATGGCAATCAGGCCTCAAGCTCACAGAGATGATCCATCTACCTCTGCTTCCTGAGCGCTTGGATTAAAGGCATGAGCCACCACATCAACACTAAGGATTATTTTCTGAGTCAAGAAAATTTTAAGTGGTCATACATACATTATGCACAAGTGGTCCTAAAGAACAAAATTATGTGAGTTCATTCATGAAATAAGTATTCCCTTTTCCAGCTTACCTGTGATAAGGATTCTAAGGAGCCTATGCATCCAACACCAGAATGGGGAACATGATTCTGAACTGTTACAGGTTGAAAGCTTTGTGATTGAGCATAAAGTCTTACTCTTGACTTGAAAGCTTCAAGTTCATTTTTGAATGCCTCAAAATAACCTTCTTCCTCTGCCTAGAACATAAAAACAAACAAACAAAAACAATGTTTCTGGGCCAGGCAATGGTGGCGCATGCCTTTAATCCCAGCGCTGGAGAGGCAGAGGCAGGTGGATCTCTGTGAGTTTGAGGCCAGCCTGGTCTACAGTGCAAGTTCCAGAACAGACTCCATAGCTCCACAGAGAAACCTTGTCTTGGAAAAACAACAACAACAAAAAAGAAAGACTGTTCTGGACTTCTAAACCACAGAGTAAATTTCAGAAGCACATAACAGAGGTGGAGCAGAGGCAGCAAAGAACAGTGAAAATGCAGAACCCAGTACAGTCTCCTCACAGACTGTGAACAGTTTCTTTCACAGAACATTTACAAAGAGTTGGTCTGCTCTGTATTTCTTTCTGCTTCAACAAAATTAACTAACAGGAAACATACTCCTATACAAACACATAAAGTGGGTGTGGCCTGGTGGTACAGTTTTTAAGACCAGCTATTCAGGAGGCTAAGGCAGGAGAATACCAAGTTCAAGGTCTGGTAGGCAAAAGAGTGAATTTACCAGGAACAGGGCAATTTACTGAGACCCTTGGGTGGATGGATCTCTGTGAGTTCAAGGCCAGCCTGGTCTACAGAGCACGTTCCAGGACAGCCAGGACTGTTACAGAGGAACCCTGTCTTGAAGGAGAAAAAAAAAAACAAGTTATTTTTTATAACTTCTTCTGAGACAGGTGGGGCACTTGGTTAGCATGTACAAGGCTCAACTTTTAGAACTGCAAAACAAACTTTATTGAGCTCTCACATTCACTCTATTCTCACTTAACTGGGGAGGGGGCACTATTACCTATCTAGTACATCTCCGACCTTTCAAAACTATTTGTAAAAGTTATACAAGACAAACTCAACATTCAGCTTAATTACTGTAAGGACATCTTAAGTGTTCTAGTTAAGCCAGTGTTTGGTATCTGGAAACAAACATGTTAACTTTGGCTGAGGGAAGGGGCTCTCTCTCTGGCATCCAATGATGTAGGAGTTCTCCATGAAAAGCCCCCATCTTCTGACACAGGCCTCTTTTTAAATGCTCCTTCTGTGTGTACCTGGCAGGGAACATGCCCCGTGCTAACAGCATGCTTGCTGGCTTTAAGTTCAAGGGCGAAAGAGATCTTGTTAATGGAGTTTAGGTTGTAGAACTTGGTTGAGATTGTAGATTAGTTCTGGGTTACATAAACAATGGAAATTATGTTCTGGGAGGATATCCTATCTTTTTGGATAATTTCTTCAGTTAAGCTTAACATTTCATTGTAGTAATAGCTAGCTGTACTTGTGTGGACCTATGCTACTACTGTCCAATGCTTGCATCCAAAGGTAATCGCTATCCAAGGCAAACAGCACGGCAGCGGACTACTGTAATCCTAACGCTGAGAGGCTGATCAAGAGACCTGACTCTGTTTAAAGACAAGACATTGTTTATTTTCTTTATGCCAGTTTCCTCCCTTACAAAACAGGAGTAAAAATCTTCATCAAGTGCAGACGGATTTAATAAGTTAACTCATGTAAAATGCTTAAAACAGTGCCTGTCATGACAGAAGCACCCAATGAATATTACTACCTAATTGTTAATATTAAAACTGTTAAGGTTGAAGATTTTTAATTATTTTCAGTTCTGTTTTATCAAAGAAAAAAAATTACATGTAGTGTGGCAATGTCCCATTACATATTAAATATCGGTTTAAACACATTAAGGTATCACTAAAAGGTATACTTTTTATTGCTTCTATGAGTCAAGTAAAAATTTAGCTAAAATTCCAACCCAGTCATTTGTTTATTAAAAGTCCACTATAAACTGTAGGATAAGATTGTAGGAAATTGTAGGATTAGACTGTACTTCACAGAGTTTTTTTTTACATTTAAAAATAGAATTTAATAATTCTACCACTCAAGCATAGCCAAAGTTAAACTTCTGGTGTATTTCCCTTTAACTTCTAATTATGTATGATGAAATGCAAGAAACCATATATACGTGTGAGCGCGCGTGCGTGCGTGCGTGCGTGTGTGTGTGTGTGTGTGTGTGTATTGGATCCTCAGCTCCCACGTAACATTCCAGCATGGTGGCACACATCTGGAACCCCAGCACTGAAGAGAGGGAAGGGGGAGGTAACAAAAACAAGCAGATCCTGGGGGCTTCCTGGCCTAGCCACAATGGCCAGCTTCAAGTTCACTGAGAGACCCTGTCTTGGAAAACGGGATGGATTTTACCGTTGTCAGCTTCTGGCCTCTACACTTTATATAAGTAAACTTGCATACACACAATATGTAATATTTAAAAGACAAAACCATTCTTGAAAGCACCCTCCCCCAACAGGTGAGAGTAGTGAAATATGCTTTTCATCTCCTCAAGTCTCTCATGCTTGGCTTAACTGACGGTAAAAGGCTTCACCATTTCCTTCAGCATCAATTGCACACTCCTCCGTGAGAGGGAAAGCAGCCGCCGAGCATCACAGTAGCATTATGAAATCACTGTCACTGAGGGCCTGCCGACTGTCAGGGCCCTGACCTTGCTGAGAACTTGCTCTCTATGGTGCATTCCTCAAAATGGTCTTGCTATTTAGATGTGCACTTGTTCAGTTCCAGCAGAAATACTTCCAAAGGGGTTGTTCTAATGTATACTTCTACTAACAGTGAATTCGATTCTTACTGCTTTGCTTCTTAGGAAACTTTTAATTATTACTGATCCAGTAAACATGAAACAGTAATTTTTTCTGTAAATATCCATTTTCTTTAGTAGGGCCAACATTATTTGTCTATAAACCATGCATCTCCTATTTTAAACTTGTAACATAAACATTTTCCTAGATTATGGACAATGTTCCATAAAAATATAATAACTGCATAACATTCTATGTATGTAGACATACTTTCTGGAAGTCATCCTTCAATGTGAGATGTTTAGGCTGCATGCTTGCTTCCTCCTCCTGCCTCCTCTACTGTCCCTCAACAGGATCTCACTATCTCAGCCTGTGCTGACCTCCAACTCATAATCCTCTTGCCTCAGCCTCCTGAGTATATTTTATATTTTTTCATTACAAATTTGGTTTCTTTCTTTCTTTCGTTTTTTCGAGACAGGGTTTCTCTGTGTAGTTTTGATGCCTGTTCTGGAACTCACTCTGTAGACCAGGCTGGCCTCGAACTCACAGAGATCTGCCTGGCTCTGCCTCCTAAGCACTGGGATTAAAGGCATGTGCCACCACTGCCCAGCCAAATTTGGTTTCTTAAACGGTGAATTCTACATGTGGAGGATGCTGTATCTGTTTTGCTCAACACCACATTTGAAATGGCTTTGCTTTCCATTAGTAAACACTCTATATAATAAATGGGTAAATGATGAAGTACTCCACAATAGTCACATTAATTTGCATGGGTTTCAAAAATGAGTTTTAAATATACGGTCTAGTGTAGCCTCTTAACTCATTTTAACTCTCAATCAGCAAAGAACTGTAATACTACATTGTATTATAAATGCAAGCACTATACTAGCTTATATGTACTAAGTACTAATACTGTACATTTCTTTTCACTAGAAAACCTACAGCATTTAGCAGCCTATTACCCAGATAGCTTCCTGATATGTACAGAACAAAGAGAGCTCAGTTACAGTCCAACCTTCTTAATTAACAATACCAAGTAACTACTTACTTTGGCTTTCTGGAAAAACAAACGAAAACAGCCTCTTGGATCCACATTACAGTTTTTGGCCATTTCCATAATAAACTGCATTACCACAGCCTGATGTGCTATTTGTTCCATTAGAGCACCTTTCTGAAAAAGACACATACCAGAGTTATAGAAAATACTTCTGGAAAGAGACTCAACTGGTACTGAGGCCAATTTTGAATTTTTAGAGTACTTTAGATTTTACTTTTTATTAAGTAAAAGACTAGCTAGACATAAAGTGAATGTTGTCTTAGTGCTGTTATGTGGACCAGAATAACCACATGCTTTTGGCTTGGTTCACATCATGGTTACTCCATGAGAAATTTCAAAGGTGACTCTCTGACTAGAGTGCATGGAAAGGCGGCAGAGCGAGCACACTGGAACCAACCACAGTAAACCCTCGCAGTAAGCTGGAAAACAACAGGAGGACTTCACAGTTCCTTCTAATGACCTTCCTGCCATCCTTGTTGTTGTTGGTGGTGGTGGTGAAGACAGGGGTTCTCTGTGGAGCCTTGGCTGTCCTGGAACTAGCTTTGTAGACCAGGCTGGCCTTGAACTCAGAGATCTACCTGCCTCTAGCTCTGGAGTCCTGGAATTAAAGGTGTCTTCCACCACTGCCCAACCTCCTGCTTCATTTAAAGTAAATAATGAAAAAAAGGAAGGAAGGGAGGGAGGGAGGGAGGGAGGGAGGAAGGAAGGGATTCTATTCAAGTTTGCAGACACTCAAGGTTCATACAATACCTGCTCAGCTTCTAGATGAAAACACCATAAAATAAGATATTTAGCAGTTTCTTCACATACAATGTACGGATGGTCAGACAGAAATCTCTGACTATCATCCCACCGACTCAACATACCTATAAAAGAGAATTGAATCACAACTGTCAACCATTTCCTTCCTTCCTGTGAGGCAAAAAGTGAATTCTAAATGTTTCTCTTTAAAGACAATTCCCAGTACCAGAGCAGTGTGTATGTGACAGGGCAAGCCAAGAGCACTAATAATTCTTAAAGCAATACCCAGCAGACTGAACTACAGCAGATTTTACTTCAGATAGCCTGACTTAAGAAGAGTGACCAATTGAATTCCACTGCTTACAGGAATGCCTGAAGTCCCCAGACACTGCGACACTTGGTCTTCCTTAAGGTTAAAGGGGAGCCAATGATTTCGAGATATATCATTTACTAAGAGAACAGTGCTTTCCATTGGAAAGATGGTTAAGAATCTGTTCCTGAGTGGCTGCAGCCAAAGACTGCAGATGGCCACAGAGCTTGTTCAAGGACAGCCTAAGCAACTTTGCAAGACCTTCTCTCAAACAAACAAACAAACAAACAAAAAAGGGGGCTAGGGGCTGGTTCAATGATCAAAGTGTTTGCCTATTATTATGCATGAGGCCTGAGGCTCAATCTCTAGCACAAAAATCTTTAAAAAGCAAGACTTTAAAAAATTATATGTGGCAAATTTAAGGGCTTACTAAACATTCAAAATAAATTAGAATATCTCTAATTTTTTTTTAAAGAGTCCAAGATATAGAGTCAAATGTAGACATTTATCAATTCAGAAAACTTTATCAACTAGGAAGCAAGCAAGTCAGTATTATAATAACTAATATACTGCAATTATTTTAGTTACATTAGGCAATACTAATGCTGTCTTTTCAGTGTATACAGTAAACAATTATTTTTTTTTTAAAAAGTCGCTGAACATATATAAACACTGCCATTTTGTTTCAAGATATTAACGAATCTAAGTAGTACTTAGCATGCATCTGCATCTTTAACTAATTTAACAAAGACACTATTGCCAAATAACATGGGAACTGGAGTGTGCTCTTCAGGGTTACATTTGAATGAACTGAGTATCACAATGTCAGAAACTTTAGTTTACACACAGAGCAAAAACAGTGCGGATATTATTAAGCCATTATCAAAGTTTCAAAGGACTGTCTTGAGAATATGACAATAAAATTCAGCTCTCAACACAAAATGAATTCCTACATACTAAATTTCACATGAGAACATAAGATCAAAACCAAAGACAAACACCTTACATTGCAACATGTGGGGAACCAATCGAAAATATACTATCTTTAGAAAAAAGGTGGGGGCAATTTTAGTCTTTTTTGTTGTTGTTGTTGTTGTTAAGAAAAAAAGGGGGGGGCAGAGTCTTCTACATAACTCAAGAATCACTCAATCGTTAAACTTCTCCTGCCTCTGCCTCTCAGTGATAGGATTAGAAGGGTTCACCATACTTTTCTGACAGTTGGGTCATTGAAGATTCTGAGACACAGAATGATTCTGCAAATTTATTTAAAACTACTTCCCTAGGAGTTAATGAATGCTGAAAATCTGAGCTCATGAAAGTCCAATCCTTATTTCTTATACCTAAAGACATAAAATAACTCCTATGGCAGTTCCTGCCCCCTCCCCCTCTTTCCCCATACTTAATGTTTTGAGAGGATCTCATGGAACCAGGCTGACTTTGGCAGCATTGTGACTTTATTACAAAACCCTGTCCATTTGGACTCTGAATTAAAGACAGTATGAAAAGGACTGGTAACACTTGCTACCAATCCGTTACATGCTGAAGTTTTTATCTTTTTAATACCTAAGCCACTTGAGACTTGACAAAGATATTAGATCTTGATTAGTATGAAATTGTGAAGTTACAAGTAGTCCATTTAGGTCTTAAAGAGAAAAGGTGTGGAATTTTATAAGGAAGTATTTAAAGAGAATCCAGAGTTACAAGAACAGAACATATCTGAAATTGCTGTTATTTTGAAATTTGTAAACAGAGTTACATAATCTAGGATGATGGACAGGGATGGTCTGAACCTCAGCCTCACCTCGGGCAAGTGCCCTCATATACCTCGGTATCTTCCCACGTAGAGTAGGGCTAAAACAGTACCTGACATGAAGGATTTTTATGAATTAAAGATATTAATTCATATAAAGCTTTTAGAACAGTGCCTCACCTAGTAAATACTTGATAGCATGTATTAACACAATAGTGAATAATTCACTCGTATAGCAAATACTTATTAAGACAATCTTTTGGTTAAGGAGAAGCCAACCACTCTAACCAATTTCTCAGAATTCTTAGACTTGCTTACTTTGACAAATTAAGTTAATTACATACATCTAAATGTCATCAGTTCTCAATGGTCTATCTGATTCTTAAAACTGCTCCCAGTACAAACTCTGCATTATCTTTACAGAATACACTTAACATTGTATACCATCTACTGTAACTATCTGCTACAAGTGCTCTAGCTAGGCTGAAAGACCCTTGAGAAGACTGACTACTTTTCCTGCCTGAGTGCTCCTGTGTTTCTGTCACCAGACAAGTGGTTTTCACCTCCATGCCTACGCACAGTCATGTTAGTAAAAACCAAATCCATCCTTCTCCCTGCCACCCTACAGTGCTTCTGAGGCTTCAGGTTACTTCATCAGGTATTCTAGAAACTCCTCTGACTTCCCATTTCTCTGGCATCAAACTGACCATGAAGTTCAGTGGCTATACTATTATATACTAAATACATTTTAAAATATTAAGCCATGGCAAAATTTTAGAATAAAACCTTAAGATATTTTTTCAGGTAATAAAAATTATATTTGTTGTGAAGAACTTAATTCCCAAATTAAAAAAATATGTAATTCTATCATAGAGACAATTTAAATCCTACATGTTTTCATTTCATTTTATTTTATATTTTATTCAGTATTTCATAGCATGTTTTTTTAAAAACAGGATATTAATTTTTTAAAGTAAAGCACAAGTGAATAGAATCGAGATATTATAAATGAAAAAAGTTTTTATACAAATGTTTATAGTTTTTGATTAATTTCCCAGTGACCACATCCTACAGAGATTCAGAAAAAGCTGAATCAAAGTTAACTATGGCTGGAAGGGAAAATGATGTGCTCTGAAAAACCACTGCACAATTCAAAGAGCAGCTCCAAGAATCACAAAGACGGTGATGTTAAAGGGGTTAAACAGTTAAATCACTGTAAATGGTTGTGAATATGAATAGGAAACATGCTGTGTCTAAATCAGCATTTTGATTTCTAAAGCATGAATCAACCAACCAACAAAAATGTAAAGGAAAGTCAGATTCAATAATCTTTAACACTGCAACAATGGTACCATTTAATCGGTAAACTTCATCTAAGTAGAAGGGTAAAAAGCAACGGGAGAAGAGAGTCATCCAACAGGACAAGAGAGAATTAGGAAGAACTATGAAGAACGAAAGTACAAACGAGACAAGTATTGGTTTGAAGTGCCTGCTGTCCTGCACAGACAGCTCACCTTCACCAGGCCCTCTTTTAAGAGTCTACAACAGAATCCAACTTGGAAACTTTAATTACAGCTGCCATTCCAGATGTTTTTTAAGGAGTTCATCAATATACCTATCAGTCTGACAATGCTTTTTTTCTTTACTGATAGCATACACTAGCATAAGTATTTGTTTTCTCCAAAGGTGGACTGCATCAAACCTTCAAACTCTTGTCTCGGGCCTCTATCAACTGTGCTACCACTTTGTAAATGTGGATTCTGCTATCTCATCACCTGTGTAACTGTAAATTTAGTCCACTCTATGTTCATGGAACTTGGCAGGCAGAAGTAGTAGATGCCCCAGATGCCTATTTATATATAATAAGATACACATATGCCAGAGAGTGGAAAGTTAAACACATGAAAAGTTTGGGAGCCTACTACCTTAGGAACATTTCTGTGGATCCAATGTGCTGCAGCAAGTAGGGTATCTCCTCCAAAGTGAAAAGCCAATGTGCATTTCCACTAAGAAACAGGTACAATGTGAATCTGGGAGTGGCTATAAGTCTGGTTGGATTTGAAGACAGCAAGGGTCTGGTTAGTATTACAAGATGAAATGCTGGAAGCTCACAACATGCAATGGTAAACAACTGCTTATTAATCACTGATGGATGTCAAGCCAGCCTTTTTTCCTGGCCATCTGATTAAGCACACAACAGTTTCATAAACTAAGGGATCATGTCTTAGGTAGGCATAGGCTTAAGATTATACACAGACTCAAGAACATGGAATCTTTTCATCAAGGATGTTTTGGTAACCTAGTCCAATAGAATCAATGAATACCAAATTTTTTCAGGAACAAAAACTCATGCTAAAACCCCAATATGGCACTACGTTCTATAGAATTAATTATCCAGTCATAAAGTAGCAGCTTGAGTATATTGGTCCAATTTCTTCTTGGAGGGATCAATAATCCCTCACATGAACAAGCCCTTTCTAGAGCTGAAAGTGTCCTCTCTCTTACCATGCTTCTACCAAATTACATTTTGGAGTGTACTAGATGGACTGACTGGTCATTGTACCACATTATTTTTGGTTCATTTTATATCAAAATAAATGATGAACATGAACTCATGAAATTCACTGGTCTTACCATGGACTACTCAGAAACAGCCGGTTTTACACAGTGAGGAAAGGGTCTACTGAAGACTGAGTCTCAGTGTCAGGTGGATTACAACATCTTGTGAAGCTGGGAGGTTTTCCCACACAGAACTGCATTTAACCGAAGCACTCAATCTACAACAAAAGAAGGTACTAGTTCTCACTTACTAGGTGACATGACTTCAAAGCAACCAGCCTACAGAATGCCAGCTGGGCAAAAGCACCACTAGTGACACTGTTCTCTCAAATGCTATGTGTGTCCAGAAAGAAGCATCAGGAGATGGCACATCATGTCCCTGAAGCAGAACACATGGGTCTTGGTAGCAGGACTGAAGTAGGAATGGCAACTGACAACACAGGACTCCTTTACAAATTACTATCTTCTACCCCTGTGATTCAAGACCCTGCTGGTTTAAAGACTTTAATATCGATCCAAGAGAGGGCTGCTTATTCCTTCTGTTTCTATATATGAAATGACACGATGATACATATAGAAATGTGAACCTGTGTTTCTTTTTTTTTTTGTTTTTTTGTTTTTTTTTTTTTGGCTATTTGTGACAGAGTCTCATAGTCCAGGCTAGCCCTGGACTTGTGATCCCCTAGCTTCAGCCTCTTCAGTGCTGGGATTACAAGCACATGCCATCATGCCCAGATTTCTTCAGGTACTAACTATTCTTGAATTAAGTACAGTTTTTCCTTTTGAAGAAAAAATACTTTGAGGGGATGGGCACAAATGGAAAAAGGTTTCAACATGCCATTGATGAATAAAACACAACAAAAACCAGTCTGTTAATTCATACAACACTTGAATTAAAAAAAAAAAAATATGGTCTGAAACTCAATTCCTCACACTTCCAAGCAGCATTTTTAATCTAGCAGTATCGCACTGCTTGTAAGTTTCAGAACATATCATGCATGTATTTTCTGATTCTGCAAATTCTAATGCTGTTGCCTAATCTCTATGGAAAATCCTTATCTGCCTTCCTAAACAAACTTAAACATTGCCTCCTCCCCTAGGAATCCTTCATTTACTTCAACTCTCCTCTCCCCGGCCCCCCATCTTCCCACAATAGAAAAAGCCAGTTTGGGACTGGAGAGATGGTTCAGTCATTAGGAGTGCTTCCTGTCCCAGCACCCATGTTGGGTGGCTCACAACCACCCCTAACTCCTCCTGCTCCAGGGGATCTGATGCCCTCTTGTGCTCTTCATGGGCCCCCTACACATGTGGCATATACTTACAGAGATATAAACACATAAAGATTAAAACATCTTAAAAAAAAATGGCATTCGTGTGTGTGTGTGTGTGTGTGTGTGTGTGTGTGTGTGTGTTCCAATCCCATGATTAGGTGGTTCACAACCAACCATAACTTCTGTTCCAGGGGATCTGACACCCTCTTGTGGTCTCCATGGGTCCCCTACACATGTGGAATATACTTACATAGACATCTTAGATCTGTGTGTGTGTGTGTGTGTGTATTATCTGAGCAACATGTCAAGGAACTATGAATTACACATCATCTATCTAAACCTGAGAAAAGGAAAAAAATGAGTGTTGGAGCTGGCAGGATGACTCAGTGGGTAAAGGTACCTGCACCAAACCTGATGACCGAAGTTCAATCCCTGGCACCCACATGGTGGGAAAAGGAGAAAACTGATTCCATCAAGTTGTGCTCTGCCCTCTACACATGTGCTGTGGCATGCACCTGACCCCTCCCCACTGCCCATGAAAAGAAAATATATAAAATTTTTAATGAATGCTTATCTTTTAATGCAAAGAAACAACAAAAAACCAAAACATACAGTCAGTCAAGAAATGCAAAGCGGTGATACCATCACAGAAAGCAGCATTAGCAGACCGAACTGTGCTTCTCTTTACAACCTAGTTTTAGATACAAGCAAGGTCTAAAGCACATCATCAACCTTGCCACAAGCAACAACACACGTGGAGCTGGTCACATGGTTTTTGGACCTCATTTTAGAGGGTCAATTTTATACACACACGGATGATATCAAACACAATAAAGAACATTTAAGCAGTAGACTCACCAAAATGTCGGATTTTTTGCTCATATTTCTGCATAAATGATTGTGATTTATCTTCATCTTCTGTTTTTCTTTTATCTTGATTAATAAAACTCTGAAAAAATTTAGTAATTAAAATCAATATTTTAATTCAATTTCTTCAGATGCTGAGTGCTTAGCGATCTTTTCTATAGACATGATGTAATAAAAATATTGCATAGTACTATGCATCATTAAACTAATCTGTTAAAACTTGTTATTAAAAAGTTAAACATTCTCATTTGGTAGTTTCATTAATTTTGTTTTAAATTATAAATCTAGGGATCACACAGGAAAAAGTTGAATGACTTTTCATTAACCAGATTACCCTATCAAAGACAGGAATGGAAAGATTCTTCACATGTGTTATTCATTTTCAATAAACACTTGCAATTCTAGCCTAATCTTCGAAGCAAACTCAGCAAACCGAAGTATACAGAGTCAAAGATATTTACTATGAATTCTTTGAGAAGAGATAAAACAAAAATATAAACCTCGACTGAATGTCTAAAAACTTTCTCTTGGGAGGCTAAATAGTTTAATTCTTAAAACTAAGAACAAACTTCTACTAAGGAAGTATTTACTTTTGTTAAGTAAGTCATGAAACAGACCAACAAGTTTCTCATCTTACCAGCAAAACTGGCACAACAGTTTCCCAGAGTATTCTGATACACTTTATACCCAGATATTATCACTGACAAATTGAAAAGCACAAACTAGCTCCCTGCCAGCTTGTTTTTCAAAATAAAAGCACCTTGTACTTTTTTTTTAAAAATCTAGACCAATACTGACCTAGTCACAAATATACCTTAAAATTTTCTACTAGCCCCATTAAAAAGCAGAAATACACAAATGACGTTCATAACCTAATATATTCAACATATCATCATTTCAATGTGAAAGAAACACCAAAAATTATTAACAAAGTATTTCACTTCTGGTGTTTTGGTATTGAGTAACGGAATCTGGTGTATACTTTTACACTTATAGAACATCCCAAATTGGATTAACCACATTTCAAGTGCTCAGTGGCTCATGTGGTACTTATTAGCAAGGCCCCTGAGCAAGGATAACATTCAAAATTATGAAGCAGTCTATATATGAATATATTAACTATATATTATATATATTTATTCTATATAAAAATATTACACACACACACACACACGCACACACACGCGCGCACACACACACACGCGCGCGCACACACACACATATTTATGTTTTAGATTTGCTTCAGGTGATTGAGTATTTTGCCTGTCTTCATGTGTGAGTTCCATATACGTGACCAGAAAGGTCAGAAGAGTGGATCCCCTAGAACTGAAGTTACAGATGGTTGTAAGCTGACATGCAGGTGCTGGGAACTGAACACGGGTCCTTTGCAAGAGAAACGTGCTCTTAACTGATGAGTCATCTTGCTAGCCCTGTTCTATATTTTAAGTTTTAAATTGCATATCTTAATAGAGTATGGATGATACAAGTATACGCACTTGGTAAAATTTTACCTATATTACATGCATACCAAAGATGTGAGCAACTGATGTGGAACATGGGGCTCCTAGTTACTTCCTGTCCAGAGAAATTTTCCATATTGAAATTTAAGCTTTAAGCCCAGTGGGGTTAAGAATGCTTGCTGTTTAGCCAGGCATGGTGGTTCA